TACGTAGTAAATTACAATTTCTGTGAAAAACTACCTAATTACAGTCATTTGAGTATTTGTAATTAGTTGCTTTACACTGCTGGTTAGGAGCGTTGTTATTTTCACATCTTCAAAATGCATGACAAAGTCATTATATTTATATTAAAAACCTTAAACTGTCAACAAATGAAGAGTTCAGATGCAAAAACCTCTAAGTGCCGTCCTAGATGTTCTTCTAAAATGAGTGTTCTTCTTAGCCGCCTATGTTTATGGTCATCTATTTTACTTTAAAGGTGATGAAAATAGGTCAATGAAAATAATCTGTCCTTGAAAATTGTTAAAGGAATGTAAATAACTGAACATGCTCATTGCTCATTTGTGCTCCAGAATTAAACAAAACCTGACAAAGTGTCCCTTTTGAGGACAGTCAAACTTTTTCTTTAGTTGTAAAGTGCAGACTGCTTTCTTTATGAAATATTGCAAAGTGTATGTTATGAATCTGTATACAAAATAAATGAATAAAAATAAATCCCACTATATAAATACCCCTTTTATAGAGCCAAGTAATCTTGTGCATGTGTGTGTGTGTGTATGTGTGTGTGTTACTTTCTCTTCCTCTCAGAAACTTTTGTGGTCTAACAGCATTGATTCAGAAGAGAAATATTCAGTATAGTACAACAGATTTCTTTAGAAAGGTCAAAAATAAAAAAGAAATAGTCTCTGACTCACACCTGTCAGAGTAAAGGCGTATCATACATGTTTACCAGTATACCAACCGATTTTAACACCTGACCTTTTGGCCATGAAAGGTTTTGTCCATAATTTCTACAATCGGTAAAAATGGCCCCCCTTCCCAGTGTTTCAAAACACAGATTTTTCTGAAGTGAAACCAGAACTTGACTCATCCTGAAACAAAAATGAAGCAACATCATCGCATAGCTCAGTAGATTATACCTCGCCATTCACTACGCACGTTTAGGATTTCCAGGCAAGATGCACACTTAAATTAAGGTAAATTAATCTTTTTTGTTCATTTATTTTAAATATATTCCTTTAAAATGTAATTGTGTGAACATGTGCAACTGTGAGTACTTCCAAACGGTTAATTTATTTAAGTATGATTTATTATGGATTATTACTAATTCATTAACATAAAAGGAGTCTTCAGACATGACAGTCATACATGAACAGAGAATCACATTTAAATTTCATTCATTTTTAGTGTCCTTTTTAAGGGATGTTTAGTTTATCTTTTTTTAGACACAAAATAAAAGACTAAAATATTATTCAGTTTCTATTTTTACTTTTTATTATTTGGCGAACAACTAGGATTTACTCATTTGCCAGCAAGTTTAAAATGTAATATTATTAAATAAACTCTTGTATTATTTTTATGCATTTTATTAAGTACAGGCCAGAATAAGTTTGCTTAATATTTTTAAGTTTGCTTAAATCATGAACATTTTTTTTTCCAATTATTTCTGTCAAGGGAGTCAACAGGTTATAATACAGAATGATGTATATATTACATAACTGTAACTGACAGAAGTTTGTTCATTTGACTTCCTAAATATTTCATAATATAATGCCACTCTGTAACTTACAATAATAGAGCGTACAATACCATTAAGAAGGAAAAAAAAATGAACAGGACAATATATTACACTACAAATCATGCTCAAACACGTGCTACATTAACAGACGAGTCTCGATTGCTGCTGCAAAATTCAGATGGTAGGGTCACAATTTGGCATCAGCAACATGAAAGCATGGATTCATCCTGCCTTGTATCAGCGACTCAGGCTGGTGGTGGTGTAATGTGTGGAGGATATTATCTTAGCACACTATGGGCCCATAAGTACCAATTGAGCAGCACGTCAACGTCACAGCCTACCAGAGTATTATTATTGCTGATCATGTCTATCCCTTTTCATTTTAGTTCAATTCAGCTTTATTTGTATAGCGCTTTTACAATGTAGATTGTGTCAAAGCAGCTTCACATGAATGGTCATAGTAACTGCATCATGGTAGTTCAGTTTTTAGTGTTTAAGTTCAGTTCAGTTTAGCTCAGTTCAGTGTGGTTTAAAATCATTACTGAGAGTCCAAACACTGAAGAGCAAATTCATCGATGTGTAACACTACCTTTATGACCACAGCATACCCATCTTCTGATGAATACTTAAAGCAGGATACACGCCATGTCATAAAATGCAAATAATCTCAGACTGGTTTCTAGAACATGACAATGAGTTCACAGTACTCAAATGGCCTCCACAGTCACCAGATCTCAATCCAATAGAGCACCTTTGCGATGTAGTGGAATGGGAGTTTCGCTTCATGGATATGCAGCCGGAAAATCTGCAGCAACTGCATGATGCTATTATGTCAATATAGACCAGAATCTCTGAGGAATGTTTCCAGTACCTTGTTGAATCTATGCTACAAAGGATTAAGGATTAAGGCAGTAATGATAGCAAAAGGGGGTCCAAACCGGTACTAGTAAGGTGTACCTAATAAAGTGGCCAGCGAGTGTATATCAACATATCCGAAAATTGTTTCCACTTACTCTATGAAATTGCTCCTTTCTGTTTTTTTTTTAGTAAGGGTTTCCATCTTCCATATCTCTATAACAATTGCTTTCCATTCTTCTAAAGTGGGAAGTACTGACAAAAGCTATTTACGTGTAATAGCTTTTTTTTTATCTGCAACCAGAAGTATTCTCCAAAGATATGTGTCTTTAGTTTTATGCAACTCAAGATTTCCTTAGTATATCACTGAAAACTGAAATTGGATTTTGATCTTCAACATGGCCTCCAGTATCGTGCGTATGAACATTTTTCAATCCACATTTTGAGTTTCATTAGCTTAACTTCACTAACGCGTGCCAATTTGCTACACCTCATGTCCGTGCAACATTTTTCCAGCAATAATCTCAAGTTTACAAACACATTTTGCGTGCAAATCTCATCTTCTTTTGAGGGTGCTGAAAACTCTAGCCTTATAACTGTATCAGTGAGCATCTCACAATCCGCCGCCTGAACGTTTATTAAATGAATGTCTGATGTTGTTTTAAATATGGCATCTAATACATCTTCACACACAAGGCCTTCATTGTCTGCACCGCATTTTGTGAACAAAATCACTTCAACTTCAATCGCATTACAAGCTGTAATTGGTTAACAGTCGTATATCCTGCGTTCACAATAGAAAAAGAGAGATGTAAGTCAGGAACGCGGCCCTTTAGCACACATAGCCCAATAACCCTTCCCCAATGCAGAGATGAGCTCTCAGGCACACAATGGCTTCTTTCACCTTTGCCTGGGATAAGAGAGAAGTTACTCTCTCTTTTTTTTCTTTGAAGCCAAATCCAGTGTGTGCAATGAAAAGAGCTTTGCGATGGCTGATAAACAGAGACAGACCTCCACTGAACTGTTGAATACGCAGTCAAAGGGGCATAGAAGATCCGATTTGGGTTTTGGATTCATCCTGCGAGGCCTTAAATAACTATTTCAGTGCATATGGGATAATATTTTCCATTTAAGATCTCCAATGGAATAAACGTCTCTTTTGTTATCTCCAATAGCCGCTTTGATCAAATTAAACATAACTTGCGTCCAGTATTTTTAGTCAGCGGTCAAAAGAAGTTCATTTCTTCGTCTTCTTCTTCTTGTTGCTGAAAACACTTTGACCCCCATAAAAGAAACTCAACAGTTGTGCTTTTGTGAACCCATACAACACAATAATGACTACTACGGGTCACCCCGAATGAATGCTTTCCTCCTAAATTTAGCTTCACCATATATTATCGACTAAAATTAGAGTACGCAGCCGGGTTCACCACAGTTAGTTTTTGAAAAGAGCTACAAGACAATATTGTGTAGTGAAATGCGCCTAAGAGATGAGCCTCTGGGTCATTTGGAAACCGCACTGAACAAGCAGTGTTTGTCTTGTACCCCCTGAAGCAGAAGTGGCAGAGGAGGGAAGTCTGGGATTGGTCGCTTCACGCAAACACAACAGGGCGGTGCCAATGAATTAGCAATATAGACGAAAGACCTCGGCCCAGCTGTGATCAAACCTGTCAGATCAGTAATCTCTCCACTTGAGGGAAAAGGGCCTGGTGTTAGTACTAATTAGGTCAGCGAGATCCTCCTGCTTCGCTTATAAAGACCGGACGGGGACAACAGTCGCTTTCCTGGGATCCTACTTTCGTGGACCTACTGGGTTTGAGAATGCCACATTTAACCGACTGTAGTTTCTACAAGATGAGAGACGGCGCTCGGGTTGCCAACGTAAGGACTTGCTACGTTCTGCTTTGACTGGTTTTGCGCAAGAATTAAGGATGTTTTGGGTTTTTTGAATGTGTTGTCAGCGTTTACTCATCCTGGTGTCGTTTGAAATCCTCTCTGGATCTGCTTTTGCTCATATAATGAAATCATATAATGACATTTTGACTAGATATCTAACTTTGCATGGAACCTTGTTTCAAACCAGTTTAAGTGTTTTTGTTCAGTTATACTAAAGAAGATACTTTGAAGAATGTCTTAATGTCTTATTTCCTAATGTTCCATACAAATACTATGAAAATTATTTTATTTAGTGTTAAACAGAACAAAAATAAAACCTCAAACTGGTTTGGAACAAGTCAGAAGTTAGTAAATGATGGCAGAATTTTAACTTTTGGGTGAACTGCCCCTATTGGATCACAATGTAAGAGTAAAGAAATTAATCGATTTCAATTTGGGTCTTGTTTGGCATATTGGTTTGTTTATTGGCGAATATTGGGTTATACTAGTTAAGTCACTTTAGGGAATCTTTTTTAAACACCTAACTGAGATAAAGACATGGTATGCTTGACATTATTGTTTATTATTAATTAATTATATATAGGCTTACAATATGAATACTTTTTACATTGTTTTATTTTTTGTAATGAATAAACTAAGATGGTTTTAATTGGGAAAAATGCGATGTAACAAGTCAGGACATCATTTATGAACCATTTCCTCCAAATTTCATTGAAGGTTCAAAGTCATCTGGAGAACTCCAAGTACCACCTCAACCAGACGCAGGCACAGCAGGTAAAACAGTACCTCGCTTTGGGCAGCAAACTCGCTAGCCAAGCCCACCCTGTTGCCCATCCACTCCCAGGACAGGCCCTGGGCACGGTGCCCGTCATGCGCAATGGACACATGCCACCCGTGAGTGACAGCAGCACGCCAGGAAGCCCGGTTACCCTGCTAACACTAGCCAACAATCAAGACAGTGAGGTTTGTAAACCCTGCCATCTGCTATCTCTCTCTCTCTCTCTGTGAGTTTGTTCTCATTAATATTCAGATTTGATCACGTCACGTCAGTTTCTCTGATAAGAAGTGCTTCATCCTGACAGTCATGTTTCTGAAATGATGACGCGTCTGTTATTGGATTAGCGCTTTTGTTTATTCACACGACTCTCACTCACTTTTGACACAATGATTGATGAGAGTGAAAATGAAACCCCAAACAAGCAAACAAACATCTCCACTGTTGACGGAGGGCCAAGAGTGAGCTATAATCACTGTTTTCTTTCAGTTTCCGATGGATGAAGTTATTGACGATCTTATTGGCCTTGAAAACGGGTTTAAGGATGGGAGCTTGGATTGCATGGAGCCAGGCATCATAATGCAAAATAATGTAAGTATAAGCCAAGTTCATGTCTTCAGTGTGTTGACCTGTTGTATGTGCTGTGGCATTATTTAAACCTGTGCACAATGAAAAAGAGATATACTGAGGTTTTATAATTAAAATATACTTGTTTCTGAGTTGACAGAAATACATAATAATTATGAGTATTACATAATAAAGCAAACAACTATCTATCTATCTATCTATCTATCTATCTATCTATCTATCTATCTATCTATCTATCTATCTATCTATCTATCTATCTATCTGTCTGTCTGTCTGTCTGTCTGTCTGTCTGTCTGTCTGTCTGTCTGTCTGTCTGTCTGTCTATCATTCTGTCTGTCTGTCTATCATTCTGTTTGTCTGTCTGTCTGTCTGTCTGTCTGTCTGTCTGTCTGTCTGTCTGTCTGTCTGTCTGTCTGTCTATCTATCTATCTATCTATCTATCTATCTATCTATCTATCTATCTATCTATTATTCTGTCTGTCAGTCTGTCTGTCTATCTATCTGTCTTTCTAAATGTCTGTCTGTCTATCATTCTGTCTGTCTGTCTGTCTGTCTGTCTGTCTGTCTGTCTGTCTATCTATCTATCTATCTATCTATCTATCTATCATTCTGTCTGTCTGTCTATCTGTCTGTCTGTCTGTCTGTCTGTCTGTCTATCTATCTATCTATCTATCTATCTATCTATCTGTCTGTCTGTCTGTCTGTCTGTCTGTCTGTCTGTCTATCATTCTGTCTGTCTGTCTATCATTCTGTTTGTCTGTCTGTCTGTCTGTCTGTCTGTCTGTCTGTCTGTCTGTCTGTCTATCTATCTATCTATCTATCTATCTATCTATCTATCTATCTATCTATCTATCTATTATTCTGTCTGTCAGTCTGTCTGTCTATCTATCTGTCTTTCTAAATGTCTGTCTGTCTATCATTCTGTCTGTCTGTCTGTCTGTCTGTCTGTCTGTCTGTCTGTCTGTCTGTCTGTCTGTCTGTCTGTCTGTCTGTCTGTCTGTCTGTCTATCTATCTATCTATCTATCTATCTATCTATCTATCTATCTATCTATCTATCTATCTATCTATCTATCTATCATTCTGTCTGTCTGTCTATCTATCTGTCTTTCTATTTGTCTGTCTGTCTATCTATTATCTATTGTTCTGTCTGTCTGTCTGTCTGTCTGTCTGTCTATCTATCTGTCTTTCTATTTGTCTGTCTGTCTATCTATTATCTATTGTTCTGTCTGTCTGTCTGTCTGTCTGTCTGTCTGTCTGTCTATCTATCTATCCATCTATCTATCTTTCTACATTTTAGACATTTCCTAGTTATTTAAATATGCTAAATGTATTCATATGCTGTATATCAGTTTTTTAAATAAAACATTAATTAAATACAATTATTAACTATAAATATATATTTAATACATAATAACCAGATCTTAAATTGATAGTTCATCCATTATTTGTAATCTAAAGTAAAACCTTTGTGAGTTTCTTTCGACCAACATTAAATAAATTGTTATGGTTAAAACCGAAAGCCTGTAACCATAGACTTCTATAGTTAAAAGAAATAAATAAAAAAATACTATGAAAGTCAACATGTTACATGATCTCAGCATTCTTCAAACTATCTTCTTTTGGGTTTAACAGAATAAAAACTCAAAAAGGATTTTTAATCCCTCGAGGGAGAAAAAATAGTAAGTAAATTAACATTTTGGGGTGAACTAGCCCTTAAGAATTGTCCCTTAACATACCAACACAAATCTACAATTTCCTTCTGTGCAAAAAATCCACACTTAATTCGTTAACTAAAACCCCTGAACATAAAAAGCACACGCTGCATTTGTCATTTTAAAAATGAATCAAACACATTAACAACACAAACACGTGCTGATCTCTGGCCTGCTCAGTGAAAAGAGGTTTGTCTTTGTGTGAGGTCAGACCGAGTCCAGTTGAGAGTCAAAGTTCACAGTCCCCGTACTAAGAAAAAAGGGGAACAGACTTAAATCTCAGGCTTTAAACAGTAGAACAATACAGATTAGCCTGTTAATGACGTCGGCATGCAGAGAGGTATGTCTCAGAAGAGAAGAGCCCAGCTGTGTTAATGACTGATCACTAAAACGCAAGGAAAGCCAGCTAGTAAAGAAGTCAATTCTGCTAAATGCACAAATCACAGTCTGCTGAGAAACAGCCATTTAGTTAAAGCCTCGAGGTAAGACACTACAGCTCAACAATGTAAAAAAAAAAGTAAATAAAAAAAAATTACTGTTAATAACTGATCAACGAATACCCACAATTGAATGATAAAATTATAAATTGTAATAATAATAATAACTGCAATTGCAATAATAATAATTGCATTAATAATAATAATACAATTATATGAATTGTAAATAATTGTGATTACATTATAAATGACTATTTTGTATTATACATGTTGTGAAATGTTATTTTAAAATATATAAATAATTCAACATGCACTAATTTGCATATATTTCTAGCACAAAAATCTAAAGCTTGGATAAAGTCAGGTTCAAAAATATTGTTTCATTTTTTTGACATTAATTTTTTATGAATATTTTTTATCACTTCATCAGATAAAAAAAGAAAACACAGTGCAAAATAAAAAAAGTCAATATTTTTATAGAATAAAACGCATATGTAAGCATATTATGCATGAACATATCCCTCTGTAAACATCTTCACAATATGGTGTATATAAGTGATGCTGAAGTGAAGATTTAGCCCTTTAAATGTGTATTTTAAAGCAATTACTATTAATTAATAATAAAGGAAACACTTAAACTTGTAATTTGGATGTTTTCTTTTGATTAGACTGAATAAAATAGCACTCTATGGCAACCTAAAAATCTCCAAATTGACAGATGCTTCAAAAACAGTGTTTATTTATGATGTCTGTGAGGGTCGGTTAAGTCTAGATGAGATACAGCTGTGGATACATCAATATAGCATAATATTTGTGACACTGTACAACAGTAATTATTTTTACATTAATGTGAGGGTTGGGTTTATGCTTGAGGTAGGGGTAGACACTAATAAAATACAGTTTAATGGGTCATTTAATAAATAATATTAATAATACTCTGTATAATAACTGTTTTTATATTACTTTGATTGCTGAGGTAAGGGTAGATTTTATTGAAGTAAAACTTAATGGGTAAATTAATATATAACATGAATATTACTCTGTATAATTACTATTTTTACATTACTGTGATGGTTGGAATAGGGGTAGACTATAATAAAATACTATTTGAGGGGTAATTTAATAAATAAAATGAATAATACTCTGTAAAATTACTGTTTTTACATTGCTGTTCAGATTGGGGTATAGAGGGAGATGCTAATGAGACAATTTAATAGGTAATTTAATAAATAATGTGAATAATACAAAATAAAATGTAATAATATGTAAATAATATGAATAATAAAAATAATGTGTATAATTTCTGTGATGGTACTAGTATATATCAATAAATTACAATTAGTGAGAAATTTAATAAATAGCTTCCATTAACATCCGGCTACAGCTGTATCCCTTCTAGCAACAACCATGATAGACAAAGCATCGCTCGAGTAATGATTACAGCCACACTTGAATTCAGTAGATACGTATGCCAAACTCATAAACTATAAAGAGCATGATGGAAACAAATACGGCAGATGAAGCAGAGGCAGTGTTTGAATAAGCAGTGGAGCTTATCAGATTGAGCTAATATCTTGTCTCCCAGTGGACTTGTTCAGACATGATACCATGCTTAAACGGATCAATTCGTTCTAATTAGCCATACAGCACGACGCGTCAAGCCGCTTCCACGTGTCAACATATCTGCTTAACATGATGGGAATGGATTGAAGTGATTACGACGGCAGCAGTCAAGGGCCCGTGGCAATCGTTCACGTTGATAAGCGCTTTTTCCTTACACTGAGATAGTAGAGAGCACATATATTGGCGGAGGAAATACTTTATGACTCACTGTTTCTGTCCTCTTCTTTAATCCTTTAAACCGCATTTGTTGATGAGAATTTTATACATTTGGCTTGGTGACAGGGGCGTAGCAACCGGGGGGGAAAGGGGGGATACATCCCCCGCACTTTTAGAGACAGACCATTTAGAAACAGGTGATTAAAAATGTAAACCTTAGGATTTCATACAGCTGTCCCCCCACTTTTAAAATGTCCACTACACCCCTGCTTGGTGATATTGGAAAATAAGAAAGGGGAAGATTGTTATAGAACATATATTTGTGTGTTTGTGTTGCTGACTGGATTGTGGCTTAAAACTGATCAGTAATTTGAGCTCATAGTAATAGAAACTAAGAACTTACTGTAATACATTGTTTAGAAAACAAAAAGATTTAGTTGCTCCACAGCGCCCCCTTTTTGTCTTCTGAAACGCTGGGATGGTTTGCTTATTTTCTTTAAATATTAAAATACTATGAATTTATACAAAAAGTGGGTCAAAATTGTTGATGGAAATTTAAATAGTATCATTATGGCTATGTAGAAAAATTAAGCATCCATCAGGGTGTCCACGGGGTCTTAAAAAATATTAAAAGTTAATAAATTAATGTCGAGAATTTTAAGGCCCTTAAAAAGTAATAAAAATTCTTACATGCTATTTTGCAAGGTATTCAATTTTTTAAAGTTTTTGATAAAGCAATGTATGGTTGTATGCTGAAGTTTGCCTGAACTAAATCTGCGGATATTAGGATGCTGTGTAGTTTAGAAAATCAATGAAATCCTGCTAGATTTGACCTCATGCTGCTTTGTTTACTGCAGTAATCAAGGCAACACCCTTATTTCTGCAGTTCCAACCTGCTGAAATGGCTAGATTTAATAGATTTGTGTTCAATATATGAATAATGTTTTAGTTTTAGATTAGTTTCTAACATTACTATTTTGTAATTATACTGTACGTTAAAATCTCGCTAGTGTTTCTGGCTAAAGTGGTCTAAAAATGCTTGGAAACGGTCTTTAAAAATCTCTTAAAAGTTATTGCATTTCCCTCTCTGATTCCTGTATATACTCTGATTTATATATATATATATATATATATATATATATATATATATATATATATATATGAAATAGATGTAAAAACCTTTAAATGCCATCTGAAATTTTCCTCTAAAATTAGCATTTTTATTAGGCTCATGTGTGTATGTTCATTAATATCACATTTATGGCAAAATAAGTTTTTTTCCTGGTCTTTAAAGTAAAATATCTCAACATAAAGAATGCGGTGAAAAATGTTTTAGACATCTTAAACAGCACTTTTTTTTTTTTTTTTTTTTGCATCTGAACTCTTCATATATAATTTAGTTTTCAAATATTTCAAATAATTAAAAAATATATATAATTTAAGTTATGTTTAACACGGCAAGGACATTTTAAAATGTATAATATTTATACTTATAACATTTAGTCATTTAGTTTGGTGGGAATAAAAAATACATATACCCACTGCTCTGGTCAATATTTAGCCCCCTTAAGAACTATTTTTTTCAATTGGCTACAGAAAAAACACTGTTATTCAATAACTTGGCTAATTACTCTAACTCGCCTAGTTAAAATAATCAAATTAAGCCTTTAAATAGCACCTTAAGCCACATATAGTAATGTATTTCAGACAAAAACAAGTTTGTAGAAATGAGAAACTATTTTGTTAATAATCTTCAGCTATGTTATCGAGGAGGCAGAACTAACTATGATTCACTACACTAGATAAAACACCTTATAATATTTACTAATGCTCTACTATAAATCCTATTGAAGGTAAATCCTTTATCCTACATAAATAAACTCTGTTGAAAATCACCTATTTAACATGAACAACAAGAGTTGCAAATATTATTTTGTATTATACAATGTTATCTTTAAATATATATAAATCAAATATTACTTAATTAAACATGCACTGATTTGCGTATATAACTATCAAAATAAAAGTCAGGTTTAAATGTATTATTTCTTTTTTAAGTCATTTATAATAGAGGGGATTTTTTTACTTTTTTTAAAATCACTTTATTATATAATAAATGAATATAATATAATAAATGAATATAATATAATATAATATAATATAATATAATATAATATAATATAATATAATATAATATAATATAATATAATATAATATAATATAATATAGTATAATATAATACAAAATCACTATTTTTGTATAATAAAATATACAGATCTAGGCATATTATGCATGAACATATCACTCTGTAAAAATCTTCACAATACGCACAAAAACAAAACTTAAGTTTGGTGTTTATAAGTGATGCCGGATGCAAAAATACTTGCTAAATGATGAGTGGTGTGCAGAATTGATGCGTTGTGTGAATGTGGACTTACTCTGTGTGTTTGTCCTGTGAAGGTGTCCCTGAACAGCAGCATGCTGGAGGTGTACGGTGCTGATCAAGGTATGACTTTGATTTTTGATGACTTTGACTGGTATGATTTTGGTTTTGTATTTCCCTAATATTTCCAGCCAGGTTTTAAAGAATTGCAATATTGTTGAAAACACAGAACCTTCAGCTCTGATATACAAACAGACTTCAGTTTTTATATGTTCTCTGCTTAAAACTCATAAACAAACAATTATAATCGGTTCATGAGATCGGCCAGATTATTGCCGATCCAGTCATGAATGAGATTATCATCCGATACTGATCTGTGGCCGATTGATAGGAGCATCCCTAATTATTATTACATAATAATAATACAGACTAGAAGTCATTTAGATTTAAAAAGTATCCATATGCACAAATAAAATGCAGGAATATAAACACAGTTTACACAAATATAATGTCTTTTATAGCCGTTTCTACACAAGTCCCATTCAACAGCTTTATTCAACACAATATAGTCTTTCATTCCTGAAGTTCGAGGGGACCAAAAAAAAAAAAATAAAAAATAAAAAAATTGGCGGGCATACTGTAAATAGATCAAGCAAAGCAAACCCAGACGGGCTCATCGCACATGTGTTATTTCAAAAGCTTCGTCTGTGAAAGCCAAACACAACGCTGTATGTTTCATGTTATCGTCCAGCTGTCTTATTTTAAGAGTCTCAGCATTGTGTGCCTCTCATTCTTCATTATCAATGCTTCAATAAGCGGAATATGGTAGCATGTATTCTTAGCATGCACAATGACTCCTTTGTGAGCGCCTATTTCTATTTTTTTTCTTATGAATGTCACGCATCAAGTAAAGCTAATTGATTCAGGAAATAGAAAGGATGCCTGGAGAACTCTTCACTCCGGCAGGGAAAATAAGTGCATTACTGTCTTTTTCCACATACGAGCGCTGCACGGCACTCTTGTTTGGTTACGCGCGGCTTAAATGACCTTATTGAATCAGCAGAAATGAATTGAGAAATCCAATCACTGCTCCCCAATTATATAATTTGTAAGAATGCGAATGGGAATATGAATGCAGAGGCGTTCGGCAGATTGGCTAATCGGAAGGTCAGAGAGGATTAAAAGAAGACACACAGCTTTACAAGAGATCTGGTGTGGTGGACGAGTGGATGAATGATAACAGTTTATTCACACACTAAGAGGGGTTTGTGTTGATGCACGTGATGGAGTGCTAGGAAGGAAGCTGCTAGAACTAATCACACTACTAATGGTGAATGGTGAGGTTCACCTTACTCTGGATGACTGTAGCGTCTTTTCTTTTCTTGCAGAACATGACACCAGGGTCCTGGCCAAAGAAAGACAGAAAAAAGACAACCATAATCTAAGTAAGTGGTTTTTAGGCTTTACACATGTTTAGCAACTAAATTAATTCCCCCCCAAAAATAGCTAAAAGGGTTAGTTTATCCAAAAATGACAATTATTTTGTTAATTACTCACCCTCATGTCGTTCCAAACCGATGAGAAACTCAGAACATATAGTAAGATGAAATCTGAGAGCTCCCCTATCCTCCAATGTACCAACAATGGTACCGATATGTGCTGAAAAAAGTATAGAAAAAACAAATAGATCTTCAAAACTATGGAAGCATGTGAATAGCAAACATCTGAATCTGTTTTTGTATTTCAATTTGCATTTGTATTATATAATTATACAACATAATATGATTTCAATTTGAAATTGTAATTATATAATTTACACTTGCCATTGCCAAACAGTTTTAAAATGTCAATTGCATACTATTGTTAATGCTTCATAAGTTGCAATATTATATTGAAAATGTAATACTTTAATTAAATTATTGTGTGTAATGTAGAAGCAGAAATTGTAGGAAAATAATCATGTTATTTATCCTAAATGCATTTAGACTCACAGTTGAGAAACATAGCATTGTATTTTCATCATTACACTGTGAGATGTTGCTAGCAAAATTCATTTTGAATTTGCAGAAATTAACAAAACGATAGGCCTAATACAACACATTATAAGATTAAAATATGGAAAAATGATCAGATGGTAATTTCTCTCAATTTTCCTAACGGATAAAAAGCACTCGGTAACAATTCAGCATGCTTTCACTTTCGTTTTCCACATGAAACACACATTTACCGGTAATAATGACATCTCGCCCTACTCATCATTCTCTCTTCATATAGCCATATATATATAGCTATTACATAACCATAACACACTGTGAAATAGCCTGGTTCTTTAGTTCGTTGGATTGTTTTGCATTCTCACTACAATCGATCCGCTCCAGAGTTAATTTCAATCGAGCCGAGACCACATCATTCAGGCGATCTTAAACAAATGTCTGGATGTGAAAGCACCCTAAGACTGTATTTGCACACAATTGACAAACAGTCAAATAGTTACTGTCAATTTTCAGTTTTGATTGCTTAGCAAAAGTACATTTAAAACAAACCCAAACATCATGATTTTTAAATAGTTTCAAAAATACTTCAACTTAAGTAGAGGATTGATACTTTTCATAATGTTGCAAAACAAACTCCTATTGTAATGTACTTTGGGGGCTCAAATTAACTCTAAAACATTTCTAAAACATGCATGGCTGCTTTGCGATCAAACCATACACAATTCTTTAAGGTCAGAGGGTATATTCTGTAAAAATTTAGGAGTAATGAGATTCATTTCAAAATGCTTTTTTTTGTGCGTCATTTTGGAGAGTCAAGTCACTCGACAAAATGTGAGGGTCATTTAATTTAATCACATTTAACAACAGGCTATTTATACTTTAATAATGAATACTTTATAAAACATGTGTGATCGTTTAGATTTACTATTGTATCAGTATTAAATTTGTGGTGTATGACTGACTTTGTTCTTGAAATTCGCAGTTGAAAGACGGCGGCGATACAACATCAACTACAGGATCAAGGAGCTGGGAACACTGATACCCAAATCCAATGACCCGTAAGTTGAAATCTGACAAGATTCATGCATTAACAGTCTGAACTCTGAAAGTCTGGAAGAAGAGAAAACTGCAATGACACACAGATAGACAGGGCAAAATGACACTGAAGTAGAGAGAAAATGACAGCACTGAGCTCATTTCTCAAGAAAATACCCACAGAGCGAACAGGCCACCATTTAGATGATGGAAATGAGGTTCAAGGCAAAGTATAGACCATTTGAACTAAAGTTTAAGCACAGCTGAACCCGGAGATGAAGTACGGCGCAGACAGGGAGTCCATCGGCCCTGGCTTAATTGAACTTTTTATCGAATTTAAATGGAAGGCGAGTGCTGTCACCTCGCCATTAACACAAGATAAAGGAGATTATTAGCCGCGATCAGGCCAACATCTTATTCCAAAGAAAGAGACAATTTCACGACACTTTCCTCCTTTTAAAAAGTAATGGTATCGGGAATGACTGCACTTTACTTCAGCTTCCGAACTTCTTTTTTTTTTTTCCCCGACACCTATTTTTGCTCGGGGATTAATTTTACCATACAAGAGGCTGCAGAATGGTCTTTCTTGCAGACGTACTTAACTATTCCATTAAAATTCCCATTCAAAGGCAAGGTAATGTCCGAGAATGAATAATTGGCCATGTAAATCACAGAGGAGAGAGAGAGAGGAAAAAAAGGAGACCCTTGTGAGGCTTTTCTCTGTGTATGAAAGTTCTGCTGATGCGAAGGCGCTGTTGAGAAAGGTTATCTTTTACGTTTTTTCTGGCAGTGATATGCGCTGGAACAAAGGGACGATCCTCAAGGCCTCGGTGGAATACATTAAGTGGCTGCAGAAAGAGCAGCAACACGCTCGTGATCTGGAGAGCCGACAGAAGAAACTTGAGCAGGCCAACAGAAGACTCCAGCTACGGATCCAGGTAAAGAGACTGAGAACAAGAGGAAAACTGTCATGAGAGAGAGAGAGAGACATGGCAGACAGCCAGGGTTGGAGGAGTCAAAGACCAAAGGCAAAGAGAGATGTGAAAAAACTGAAGGATTTAATGCTGAACAAAAGAAGAGTTAGGGTCAACGTAGCTTTTAAAAAGTGGAAAATATACTTTAAGGCTACTTATCTTTACTGCTATAACTATCAGATGATGTTCAGTTTGCTAAATTGATAGCAATAAAAGGATCATTTACTCATTATTTACACATACTGAAGTGGTTTCAAACCTTTAGGAGTTTCTTTTTAAATGTTGAGCACTAAAGAGGATATTTTGAAGAAGGATGAAAACGTGTCGCTATTGACTTTCATAGTAGAAATAAAAATACTTTAGAAGTCAAAATATCTTCTTTTGTGTTCAGCAAGTCAAATGGGTTTAAAGAAGTGAAGGGCGAGTAATTGATGACTGAGTTTGGGTGTACTGTTATTTTAAATCAACGTTTATTTGATGATAATCTTCAAATAAAGATAAACATCAAATAAATACAATAAAATGTATGAATTAAACGATTGACAACATTTCTGCTTGCATAAATTTGCAAACTGAGTTAGATTAACATTCAAACTGCATTAAATTAGCCTTGATTATATAAACTCATTAACAGATTAGTAAATAATAATAAGTAAATAAGTCAACAAATAACAGGGTGCCTGCGAGGTCTTAAAAACTCTTAAAAGTTCTTAAATTATAAGAAAAGTAAATTTTAGGCCTTAAAAATGAGCTGAAATATTGTGTTGTAGGTCTTAACTCATTTAAAACAGGTCTTAATTTTGCGTTGTCCAAGTAAAGGTAGTCAACTGGGCTGACATCCACCCAATGACCAACAATACATCTCAATAGACCTAAGTTTTTTCTTCCTCAACTTAAATTCTCTAATATTAAATCCTTCAACGATAATGACATGCATGTTTTGACTAATCTTAGTGATTGTTGACAAAATAATGTCAAATTTCATTGAAATAATCTATTTCTCTTGCAATCTATTTCTCATATTACCCAATACCGCCACACATTAACTGAGCGTCTAAATGAGCTATTGCGCTGTCTCCACATGTGGATATCTTCAGCTGAGGCATTATTAGCATTCGCTTTTGGATAGTGAGCCTGAAGGTAATTACTATGAGGGCTAATTGTGATGTCTCCACATGTGTGAAGAAGACTCGCGCCCGCTCTGTGAATATGTCAATACTGTGCTAAATGTAATGCATAAATTCAGACGAGGAGCCCGGCTCTTCAAAGTTATTAGCCCTCATAATGTAATTCCAGGACCAATGGGCTCCTGACGAAGCTGTCGCCGCTATTTGCTAATCAGGTAATTACCTCAGTTCACCACGGTTCAGATCGGAGCCAAAAGAGTGCTTATAAACATCAGTAGGAGTCGCTCAGCTCTCTGTAAATTTACCTTTGTTTTAAAGCTGAACTGCTTAAAAGGATTCCTCTCTTCGTTGAACACAGAAGAGGATATTTTGAAGCATGTTGGAAGCCAGGAGTCATTGATTTCCATAATATTGCTTTCCTACAATGGATGCCAGTGTTTCTAGCTTTCAAACATTCTTCAAAATATCTTCTTTTGTGTTCATCAGGAGAAAAACAAACAAATATGGTTTGGAAACAGTAAGCGGTTATAGTTGGCGGTTCATTCCACTGTGATGACCTCTGCAATAGAGAGCTGTGAGGTGGCAGTGCTAACCACTAAGCCACCAAGCCACCTCACAGCTCTCTATTGCAGAGGTCATCACAGTGGAATGAACCGCCAACTATTCCAGCACAAGTTTTACGCAGTGGATGCCCTTCCAGCTGCAACCCAGTATTGGGTAACCCATACACTCTAACCTTCACACACATACACTACAGACAAGTTAGTCTATTCAATTCACCTATAGCACATGTCTGGACTGTGGAGGAAGCCGGAGCACCCGGAGGAAACCCACTCCAACACTGGGAGAACATGCAAACTCCACACTGAAATGCCTACTGACCCGGCTGAGACTCAAACCAGTGACCTTCTTGCTGTGAGGAGACAGTGCTAACCACTGAGCCACCGTGTCTATGTGTAGATGTTCAAATTCTGTCACAGTTAAAAAAAGTCAAGTGTCCAGATCCTCTTTAACCCACTCTTCCCATTTTTATCACTGACAGGAGCTGGAGATCCAGGCTCATGCTCATGGTTTGCCCAGTATGACTGCATCCATGGGCACAGTCGAACTGTCATCTCACCTCCTAAAACAACAGCATCACCAAACCCAAGCCACAGCGGCATCTCAAAGCGCCCAGGCCCCACAGAGCACCCAGCCACCTATTTACCCACAAGAGGGAGTAAGCAGCCCAGAATACACCCAACGGACTTCCTTACCAAGCATAGTTGGAGAGCAGTCCGACGGCTCCAACAACTTCTCTGACCCGCTCTCCCACTTCACCGACTTCTTCTGCAGCACCCTCAAGGAGGAGCACCAGCGGCTGGATGAGATTCTAATGGACGACCCGCTCTCGCCGTTCGGGACAGACCCGCTGCTGTCAGCCGGGTCGCCCACTGCCGCCTCTAAAGAAAGCAGCCGAAGGAGCAGCTTCAGCTCAGAGGAAACAGACGATCTCTGACTGGACCGCACTCTCAGAATGACCTCCCGTTTCTATTGGATAACGAAGACGACATGCAAAAAACACAAACAAATAAAAGGGAGATTGACTGATTGATCTGATTGACTGTCTGTACAGCAATAATAACACTGGTTATGTATTATATGATCCCTCCATCGCCAAATGTACAGCTGAAGTCAAAATTAAGATTTTTTTTTCTTCCTCAAATGATGTTCAACAGAGCAAGGAATTTTTCACAGTATTTCCTCTAATATTTTTTCTTCTGGGAGAAAGTCTTGTTTTATTTTGGCTAGAATAAAAGCAGTTAAGTCATTTTAAGGTCAATATTATTAGCCCTCTTAAGCAGTATTTGCTTTTGGATGGTCTACAGAACAAACCATTGTTTTACAATGACTTGCCTAATTACCATAACCTGCCTAGTTAACCTAATTAAGCCTTTAAATGTCACTTTAAGCTGTATAGAAGTGCCTTAAAATATCTCGTCAAATATTATTAATGTCAGCATGGTAAAGATCAAATAAATAAGTTATAAGAAATGAGTCATTAAAACTATCATATTTATAAATGTGTTGGAAAAATCTTCTCTCCGTTAAACAGAAATTGGGTAAAAATATACAGGGGCGGCTAATAATTCTGACTTCAACTGTATGTATGTGAAAGTTGTCAGCTCTTGCTGTGTGACCAGATGAGAGAAAGATCTGTTGTGCCTTTACTGAAAGCAGGACGATTGTTAAATTATTACCAGTGATGCAGATGTAATCGTGCTTAGCAAAAGTGCAAAATCCTAACCTCTTTATGTTTCATACATAATGTATTTTTCCACAAGCATACTGTTCACGTATTTATGTTTTAATCCTTGTATTCTCAAAAAAAAAAAAAAAAAAAAACATTTCTTATTCTGTTACTTTTATATATATATATATATATATATATATAACTTTAGGGGTGTGGGAAACACAATAAACCCCATTGTTTTTTTGATAATCTGAACGTTTGGTCTCTCATTTCGTTCTCATCTAAAAGTTTCAGTCAGTTTATTAACCATTTTAAGTGTATTATCATATTTAAATACAATCTACCACTGATTTACACCTAAAAAAAGTCCAAGGCTCTCGAAAAGCAGGTGGAAAAAGTTTAAAAGCCTTTACTCAGGGTTCCTACACATTTTTACTACAAAAATTCCATGACGTTTCCATGATTTGTTTTTCAAGTAAGTATTCATGAACTAATGTTTCATGCAACGTCTACATACGCATGGTAAAAAACAATACATGTTCAAAGTTTATTACAGCTTATACAAAAGTTCCGTCTGGTTCTTGATTCGGATTGGCTGAGAGCCGTGATATATTTAAGTAATATTAGCACCCGTACAGCCTCTATACCGTTTGTGTATCCGCTTGTTAAGTGTGACATCACGCGAAGGGTCTGCCGGGTCCAAGCGCTCTATTCAACTGAATAGGAAGACTCATGAAATGGTAATAATAAACGTTTACAAAGCGATTTAATGCTTTCGAAAATCACGATCGCAATATATATGTCCATGCCTAATATCCGATGGCCAGAAAGTGATGAATTTTTTTATAAATTGTTACATTTTTGGTATTTGTTATGCAGCAAGCCCAGAGATTGTTGTGTACACTATGATTTTATATAAAATTAACTTTGATGTGTGATAGGAATAAAACGTGATCATAAACGAATGATTTCTCCACTCAAATGAATGGCGGCTTGGACCCGGAAACAGTATACATACGTCACAAACACGTCACTACTTAACAAGCGGATTACTCAGCCCACATATATCTGTGGAGTTTTAATGCCACCAGTGAGACGCCCTGTCTTCTGGGAGAGACAGTTTGATTGACATGCTGATTGAGGATGACCACCGACCGCAAACACACCACTAATGACACTCGCCTAACCCTTAATTATACACTAGTGCTCTTTTTGACAGCCACAGCGCCAAAGTTTAGCAACAAAGTGTGAGGGTAAAACCCACACGAGACGCTAAATCCCAAACGAGACGAGCTCTAGTGCATATACAAACACTAACCGTCATAAATAGTTAGCAACAACATGTAAAGAGTGTGAGCTCTCTTTCGAGTCGGGCAGATTTAAACTTTTATTTTGGCAGCCTTCTAAAGAAACATTTCATTAGCAGACACTATTTAACCAAAATCGAAAATGAAATAACACATTAATAATACAACAAACGCTAGCGAGAAAAAGAAAAAAAACACGTCAATGCATTTGAGCAGATAGCCCGTGTTCATCAAAAGCCTGTCTAAATTAATGTTTGAGAGTGTTATTAGCTTATATGTTTCTCAGTAATGAAATGGAGAAAAGCTTCGACTTGCATCTCGCGCCACAAGACGGAAAAATAAAATTGAGCTGCCACATCATTATCAAGCGCCGATACTCTCCAACTACAAAGTGCTGAGTGATGTTTACGCTTAATTGGCCGCAGCAATTACCCAAAGTAAATATGGATTTTCATTAAATTACAAACATGGACGAGGCCGTGTGGAAATCATTTCCATGAATGCAATTTCCTTTCTCTCAGCCACTTCCAAACCATTTTTATTTTCCTGTGCAAACACGGTCCTTTGATTTATTTCAATATGGATAAAGAATTTAAGGAGGAACAAATATTATGGAGGGGAAAAGCAATCATAGTATTGTATGGCGTATACTGTAGAGAGGGAGATCTACAGTTTTTGTAGTCAGATGAGAGAGAAACTTGACTTTGTTTGCTTTTTTTAAAGGAAATATGAGTGGATGTTGCATATGGCAAACTTGGCAGCATGATGCTTGTGTGTTTTTTTGTGTATGGCTAACTGGTTTACTGCTAGTCAACATCTAGGGAGTCCATTGTATTGTATAATTGTATTGTAATTTATTCATTCATTTTCTATCAGCTTATCAGACGTCGCCACAGCGGAATGAACCGCCAATTATTCCAGCATGTGTACTTGCATATACTTACATCCATTTGCACACACACATCACTACTCATTCACTACGGACAATTTAGTTTATTCGGTTCACCTATAGTGCATGTCTTTGGAATGTGAGGGAAACCGGAGCACCCAGAGGAAACCCACATGAACATGGGGAGAACATGAAAACTCCACGCAGAAATGCCAACTGGCTAATCCGGCACTCGAACCAGCGACCTTCTTGCTGTGCGGCGAAAGTGCCTGAGCCACCTTGCCGCCCAACACAAGATATTTTGAGAAAATTAAAACTAAATCTGTAACCATTGCTTTCTATAGTATTAGTTGTTCCTACGTACTGTGGTAGCGGTTGCCGGCTTCGAACATTCTTCAAAATATCTTTTTGTGTTCTACTGATTTTAAAAAGTGGTCTAGGTTAAAACACATTTGAGTAAATAGTGAATAAATCTAACTATCCCTTTAAAAAGGTTTTACAACCAAATAACAGTACTCATAGACATTCTTTTGATCCATATAGTGAAGAACGAATCCTTAATAAGATGCTAGAGCCACAATTTTGTGTGTTGTGGGGAAAAAATTTAAATAATATAATAATTCTAATATAATTTGATTCATTTTCTAGATGTTTTTCCCTAGAGTATTTGTTTTACACTGATGTTATTGATTAATATGTTTGTGTCTGTAATATGCACCGTTTCCCTCACGCACAAAACATTGTTTATACTAGGGCCTGTTAGTTGACATTAATCATCATACAGACATAGTTAACCTGCAATTTTGAGTAATTTTATCAACACTAACTGTTTTCTTTCTAAACCTAAATTGTTTATAAAATATACGTATTTAAAACTGCTTAATGAGACTCGTTTTATTTTTTTCAAATGCATATATTTTTATTAATTGATAAATACATATTAAAAATAATCATTAAATAATGCACACAAAGTGCTAATACGGTGTATATACAATTGTCAAGACTCGTTCAACACAGTAAAATCTTTACATTTTTCATTCATTCCCTATTTTCATCAGGGGTCACCACGACTGAATGAACCGCCAACTTATCCAGCATATGTTTTACACCGAGATTTTAATGCGATTTTATTATGTTTCCCTGAACTATTTGTTTTACTCTGATGTTATTGATTCATATGTTTGTGGCTGTAATATGTACCACCCCCCACCCACCACCACCACACAAAACATTTTTATACTAGGGAATAATACTCATTTTCTTTTCGGCTTAGTTCCTTTATTAATCTGGGGTCGCCACAGTGGATCGAACCCCCAACTTATCCAGCATGTTTCAATCAGCGAATGCCCTTCCAGCTGCAACCCATCTCTGGGAAACATCCATACACTCTCATTCACACACACACACACACACTACGGACAATTTTTCTAACCCAATTCACCTATACCACGTTTTTGGACTTGCGGGGGAAACCAGAGCACCTGGAGGAAACCCACACCAACACGGGGAGAACATGCAAACTTGTAGTTCCTATTAGTTAACATTAATTATCATTATTGTAATATCAAGAGGAATAACAACAACAAAAAAACAGAAAGATGTTATAATACACAGACACATAATTGTGCATGTGTTATGATGTTATTATGTCTAGTTCGTTCTAACCAAAGCCAAAAAAAAAAAAAAAAAAAACAACACAACCTCTAATATAAAATAAATAAAATATAATTTTAAGTTTAAATGACATAACAGTGTTTTGACTTTCTCAAGCTAACATGTTCATTATATTTTTGTCATAAGTAGATCCCTGTTATAACGTGAGTTCCTGATTATCTAGACCAGGGGTGCCCAAACTTTTTCGTATGAAGGACCAAAATGCAATTATCATTGAGAGCTGTGGGCTGAAAAGAAATATACCAAACTAGATTACATTAAAGTTGCCATGTGTAACTTTCTGATTCATTTCATAATATTTATTAATAAATAGAAAGCATTACTTTGAATCATATTAACTAATGCAGTATAACTTTAATTATAATGTATTTGCAATTAAAACAATCATAACAGTGTAGTTGAGTGCTGTATACACTAGTCTAGCAGAATCTGCCTCTGCATTGATTCAGTCACCAGTCTCTGCATTGTCGCTTATGATTTTAGTTAGCTTTATTGTAGCTTAACAATAAAACAAACTAATATAAGGTTACATAAAATTTGAAATGACAATCTCTAAACCATCTCCATCATTCTCCTTCTCTTCTCAGATGCGATGGTTGGCCAAATCAAAGGTTACCGTGGGCCAACTTTAGGCTCTAGTTTGGGCATCTCTGATCTAAACCATTAAGAAGTTTATTAGTAACATGTATCAATTGCTGACTGACCGTACTCATTAAGTATGGACAAACAATAATTGCCTCTATTGCTAAAGTTAATTTCTCACTCTTATAGAGAGGCTACTGAATTATATAATATTTAAAACGCACTCGTTAAACAGAGATAAACTGAAACTAAAGCTTCCTCAGACGTATTGCTGTTTATATTCATTTGACTGGGTAAAATGCATTTGTATATTTGTGTGTTGCTGTTACCTGTGGTGTGGTGAATGTGTTCCTGCAGTGTTGTGTGTTTCCAGCAGATGGTGCTAATAGACTGAGCTCCTCATATTAAGCCTACACAGTCAGTCATTCAGTCTAAACAGCCTCTGGATCAGGACTCGCTCAGCTTCTGTAAGTCTGTAAGTCTCTGAAACAAACAAACAAAACAAAATAATGAATTATAGATTTTTACATTTAACATGGTAACACTTTAAAATGATGGTCCATTAGTTAATGTATTTACTAACATGAACAAGCTATATGAGTAATACATTTATTATCTTTGGTAACATTAGTTAATATTATTTATTTAAGTCAAATAACGTTAAATAACTAATGTTAAAAAGCACAACTTTGGATTTTTATAATGCATTAGTTAATGTTGAACTATGATTAATAAATGCTTTGCAAGTTTATTCATACTTAACGTTAGAAAATACATTAATGGATCATTATTCTAAAGTGTTA